ATGCTACTTTAAACCTTGAGGAGGGATTGTAATTTGTAAAATGTGAGGGGTGTCAATGTAATTTATCCAGCGAGGGCAAAATTAGTATTTAGAAAAATTAAATTACTGGAGGGAGCAATCTGTAATGAAACATTAAACCTCAGGGAGGGGGATATAATTTCCAAAAAATGAAGGAGGGAACTGTAATAAACATAAATCTCAAGACGTGTCAATGTAATTTACCCTTATTTTAAAATTAATTTTCTTTCAAAATCCTAGACTATTACTAGCTCACCTCAATTTGGAAGCTTAGATTTTCTAGAGGATCAAATGTGGGCGTTTTGTAGTTAAGGTCATGCACAGGGTCACTCTAGCATATTGTTTTATCTTCAAAAATGTTTGAGACCTCTAAATGAGGAGTTCTAGAGGAGACTCTAAAAGTGAACCCCACTTTATAATTTAATGTTTTGACTTATAATGTTATAATTATTTATTTATTTATTTTGTTTTTATCACATCACTAAAGTTGGCGTTAAAGCTCCAACTCTAGTGCTCCCTATTATTACTCTTTTATCTTTTGTATTTATGGAAGAGGTTGATTGTAAGTATATATATTTTTAGGACTTTTCTTAAGTGTGCCTTGTATATGGTATGCAAGGCACCTACACCCTTCTATTTTTGCATTTACACATTTACACTTACACCCTTTAATGGCAACAATTGGGTTGCATATGATATGCAACCGTAAGTGGGTTGCACACCATAGTAGAACCCATATTTTTATTGTGAAGTTAATTGCAAAAATAGATTCGTGTTAGTGTTTTTTGGATAATGGTGCAAGAGAACTAACTCAGGTTTCATTTGCGAACATGTTTTTTTTTTTTTATATAATAATTTTTAGTTTTTTGACTAAAATATAAGGTAAAAAAATTAGTATGTTTAGAATAATTTTTTAATTTTTTACAAAAAGATGTGAAAAAAGTAAAAAAAAAAATTCTTTGACTTTCTAATATATTGTTAGTTTTTTAATTTTTTTAATAATTTTTTAATTTTTAAATTAAAATATTAAATTATCAAACGAAGCCTTACATGATAATATTTTGGAATTGAATGAGTCAATTAATATAAGATGATTGATTGAAAGGTTATAACACTGTTGGTGATGTAAATATAAGAATTGCACAAGTAATTTGACAGCTCGGCGAGTTTGCCTTGCTCATTTTGGATCGTGACCATACAAGACAGTACTTTGGACTATTTTGGTGCTGTTTGGTGCAGTTTAAAAGCTGTTTATTTTAGCTTTCAGCTTAATTTAAGCTATTTTAATATGTTTGGTTTAGCTTAACAATGCAGCTTATAGCTTTTTGTAAGTCAGAAATCAGCTTATTCTTTTAGTGGGGCAGGAGATGCTTAATTTATAAGTCAGAAATCAGCTTATGTTCATAGTTATAAGCTATAAGCTGTTATGGTATAAGCTATAAGCACTTTCCTACAGCTCTACCAAACAGGGCCTTTGTTGCGTATTCACAGATTAATACAAGCGGAAAAATTTTCAGGTGTAATGCACACCCTTTGTGAATGAGGAAAAATGTTAGGTGGCCATAATTTCTGTAGTTCAAATAGTTCGAAAATATTAAAACAACGTTGTTTTAACATTTTCGAAGCATTTGAGTCACAGAATTTGTAGCCACCAACCATTCCTGATGAATGAGAAGATGGCTGGAGAGATGAGAGAGAATGAGTGGTAGATGGAGAGAGAATGGGTGGCAAGATGGACAGATAATAGGTAGAAAGGGAATGATTTTGTTTGGGAAGTGAATTTTTGACCTTTTTTTTTAAAGTTAAAATTTACAGAAATATAAAATAGATTAAAATAGTTAATAAAATAAAATATCACATAAAATTTATAATTATTTTATTTTTTTCTCTCATAAACATCACATTTAATTATAAAAAATCAACAATCTTTTCAAATATAAAAATTTTAATATATTAAAATAATTAAAAATTAAAATAACTTACTAAAATAGCTAACTTCCAAACGAGGCCAACGAGTGATGGAAGATAGAGAGAGAATGAGTAGGAGATAAAGACACTAAAGGGTGCCCCCAAAAAAAAAAAGTGAGAACCGTGGTGAGACCATTCTTTGATTTAACAATTTTGATTTCTCAACTTTTGATTTTTGTGATGCATTTATTGTGTGTATTTATGTTTTGAGGGATGTTTTGAGAAGTTGGTAAAAAGTTGACTTTCGATTTTTTATCAAGTTTTTTAGCTTTTTAAAAAGTGATTTAGAAAGTTAGTAAAAAGCTGGCTTTTGATTTTTTAGTTTAATATTTATTTACTGTGTCAAATCAAATTAAAATGACCAAAATATCCTTATCCAACATAAGAAATTTATTTTTTTATTTTTTTGTTATAAGCCCCAATTTGTAATTTCACACTTACGTTTTTAGACTAAAGATAAAAAACGTGACTTTTTATTTTGGTTCCCAAAACGGCACTGAGTAATGTTAGGGAATCCAAATAATTTATTAAATATTTTACCAATCCTCTTATATGGATGTAGGACTTACACACATGTAGATTTATATGGGTCTTACACCCATGCGAGAGATTTGATAAAATATTTGGTAGATTAGTTGAGGTTCATAACATTTTCCTTATGTTTTTATTGTAATTTGTTATAAGTTTTACGCTGTATTTTGTTACGAGATTTGACAAAAAATTTGAAAAAGAAAAGAAAAGAAAAAAAAAATATATAAAATTAAGTAAAATATATATATATTTTATTAATATTTTATCTTTTTTTTTTAAATCTGTTTCCAAATCCCTAACCAAACATAACATTAAAAAGAGAAAAAAAATTAAATTAAAATAATACTAAAAAAATTTAAAGATTGGATTTTATTTTATGATTCCATAAATAAAATAACAAATTCACAAATTTATTGTATTCAAAAATATTAAGGTTTCGTTTGGGAAGTGGGTTGATTTTTTTATATTTTTGATTTTTTTAGCTATTTTAACATGGGACTAAAAAGTCTCGTTTGTGAATGATTTTTGATTTTTTTTGACTTTTGTGTGAGAGAAAAAATATAATAATTATTAATTAAATATGATATTTTATCTTATTAAATTAAAAAATTTATTTCGTTTTTTATTTAAAAAAAAAAACTCAAAAGTTGGCTTCCCAAACGAAGCGAAATGGTTGAGAGTTCGGTGGAGAATAATTTAGAGGGAATCCACCGACCACGTAAGCATTAGCATTAAGTTCTCGTTTGAGAACATGTTTTGACAACATTACTTTTTAATTTAAAAGTTAAAAAGTCATTAAAAAAATTAAAAAATTAGCAACTTACATAAAAAAGTCAAAAAAAAAAAAAATTCTCTACTTTTTACATATCTTTTCGTAAAAAATCAAAAAGTCATCCCAAACATACTAATTTTTTTTACATCATATTTTAACCAAAAAACTAAAAAATTACGAAAAAAACTTATTTTCAAATGAGGCCTTTGGAAGAAGCACACAATGTGATGAAATCACCTAAAAGAGTAGTGATGGTCAGACGAATTTATAGTAGTGATGGCCAGATGGCTAGCCATGTGATAGGAGTAATTTAGGTTTTTTATAAAAAAAAATAAATAAATAAAAAGTAAAACTAATCATGATTTGAAAATTAATTTTTTTAACTTTTTATAATAAAATTTATAAAAATATAAAGAGATTGATTTCACAAATTGTAAAAACTTTTTACCTAAAAATTATTATTTCCAAACAACACTTTAGAATTTGAAATAAATGTTTGAGATTTAATCAATACTTACCTCTACAATACAAAATTTACATCATTGATAAAAAACAATCATGGTAATTTTCTTGTTCCCTAAACTTTTACTTTCTATAATGTATATTATCTTGGAGTGTGACTAATAAACACTATTTGACATAAATTAAATAAATGCATTTATTTAGATAAGTGTACTTATTTGGGTGATATTATTTCTATTTTTTTTACACAATCTTTTTGTAAAAAGTCAAAAATGATACTTTAATTTGTAGTCTCTTATGTTCCATTTCTTGTCCATCACTTTTGGATAGGGTTGTGAAATGAACCAAAATTACTTCAATTTGATTAGTTCATTTAAAATTGATTCATTAAATTTAAATATATTCTGAACTTTGTTAAAATTTTAAATCAAATTTGAATAGTTATATATTTGGCTGAACTCTATTGTATGCAATATACAAATAAATAAATCTTAATCTAATTAAAATTTGTTTCAGATCTACTCCAACGACAAACAAACAAAGTTTGAACATATTATAGAACTCATTGATTTAACAACAATGGTGTATCTCCTAATTTATCATCCCTAAATAATCCTTAATGATATGATATTGAGGTTAGACCTCACTCAAAATCGTTCAAAATAGTGTCCAAAGTTGAATTGGCTGACATAAGGACCATGCCTCCTTCCTCCTCCACTCCACACCCTTCCTCCCTCATCTTCAATTACCCACTCTATTGCTGCCAAGTGGCATGCCAAATATCCAAGCTGCAACAAATCACCACCAAGCTTCTCCATACCTATGTTTATCACAAACACCATCACCTCATCAACAATTACATCCCCCCCTTTTTTCCCCACAATAAAAAAGAAAACATATTTTGTTTTAAAGAAGTCGACAATTGTACCCCTAGCCCACTGATTTACACCCATCCATGTCCCTCTCCCTCCCACCTTAAAATCACCTACAAATTTGTCCAAAGCAAGGGGTAGTCACAGAAACCCATATTGCCACATCAGCCTTCCTTCATCAAATCAAACTCTTTCCTATCCTTCAAAACTGCCAATCTGTTTCTCTATCCACATACCCCCTCTTCTTCATTTTTCTGTTCTCAACCTTCTCCTTCGAAAAAACTAACCAAAACCCATTTCATGTCACCTCCCAAAACTAGCTAAGGTCCTCTCTCTCTCTATCTCTCTCCAAACCATCTCAAACTAAGAGAGAGAAAATGGCAGCCTGCATCCAATCCCTCTACTCCACTTGCTCAGTCTCAGCACCCACAAAAACCCACTTGGGATTTCACCAGAAACAGATAGTTTTCTACAGAACAAGCAAGCAAAACAGCAGGAGAGAGAGTACAAGCACCACCATAACATGCTCAGCTCAGGAAAAGACAGTGGTGATAGGTTTGGCAGCTGACTCAGGTTGTGGGAAGAGCACCTTCATGAGGAGGATGACAAATGTGTTTGGAGGGGCTGCTGAGCCACCAAAGGGTGGGAATCCAGACTCCAACACACTCCTCAGTGACATGACCACTGTGATTTGTTTGGATGATTATCACTCACTTGATAGGACTGGTAGGAAAGAGAAGGGGGTCACTGCACTGGACCCTAGAGCCAATGACTTTGATCTCATGTATGAGCAAGTTAAGGCTATCAAGGATGGTGTTGCTGTTGATAAGCCTATTTATAATCATGTCACTGGTCTTCTTGACCCTCCTGAGCTCATCAAGCCTCCTAAGATCCTTGTCATTGAAGGGTTGCACCCAATGTGAGTTTCTTATGTCTTGAAATTCCCTTTCTCTTCTTTGATTTCATCTTTTGAAAATTCTATCTCTGTTCATTCTGTTTATTGAAAGTGGGGACCCAAAGAATTCTTTCTTTCTTTTAGCTGTGAATCTCTCTGATTCTGATATTCGGAACCCTCATTACTAATAAAATTCAAAATGGTCTCTAGATTGATAGGAAGATACTTGAATGAAATTAGATTTTGGGGAGTCTTTGAACCATTGAACTATTTATTTTTCATTAAATATTCATCTCTCTTTCTAAAACAAATTCAATGAACTGAGTTTTCTTATTGATGGATAGTGTAGTAACTATGGTTTTTAAAAGAAATTCTTATTAAATGTAAATTATAAAAAAATATATGGCCAATAATTTCAAAAAATAACAAAATATTTTTTTGAAAAAAATAAAAATAAAAAATAATTTATTCAAAAAAATAAAAAATAATTTTAAATAAATTTTTTGTTTTGGTTGAAAAAATAGAGTTTTTAAAATAGTTTGCTTATGAGTTTTGAAAAGAAGTTTTGAATTGAATTTTGAAAACTTTGTTTGATTATGTGATTTGAAAAGAATTTTGAAAATTTTTAATCAAAATCATGATTCTAAAATCCAATCAAATGTTACCATACGGCTATGTTTGGTTATGTTTTAAAAAATAAATTTTTAAAAAGAATTTTCAAAATTTGAAAATTTGTTTAGTTATATATTTTGAAAATTATTTTTTAGTTGGAGTTTTGTAGTTTTATAATTTGAGATGATTTATAATTTTTTTGTAGTTGATTTGATGAATGTGAGAAAAAAATGATTGATTGATGTGTAGAATGTAAGAAAAAACGGATAAGCTCCCCTCTATACTTCATCTTTTTATACCACTCCATACTACTTATATGCAGTGGTGGAGGGACGTTGGGACGAGACCTCCATACTCCTTATATAATGTAAGAAAAAACGGATAAGCTCTCCTCCATACTCCTTATATACATTACTCTTTTTATTTTTTTACACATTTTTACATAAAAAGTCAAAAAAATTACTAAAATAACTTATTCTCAAACGAGGCCTTATATAGTGTACCCCAAATAAGGCCTTAGTTTTTGAAATGAGTTTTGAGTTGTGTTTTGAAAGATAAGTCATTGAGAAAAGTTTCGAAAGTTAAAAATTTGTTTGGTTATGAGTTCTGAAAATAGTTTTGAGATAATTTATAATATATATTTTTTTAGTTGAATAAATGAGTGTGAGAGAAAATTTAATTGAATGATGTGTAGAATGTGAAATGAGAGGATAGAGGAAAAAAATGATTAATTAATTTATTAATAATAAAAATAAAAAAATAAAGAAAATATTGAGTTTTAAATTGTATTTTAAATTTATTAACCAAATAAAATTTTTAATATTTTTTTTTCATATTTTAAAAACTAAGCTAACCATTACCTTTAGTGGGAGACTTTTCAAATCACAGATCTATTTTTCCAAAGAAAAGATTGCTTCGCTTTTCCAAATGATTTATCAAATTTTTTATTAAATCTTTCGTATAGGTGTGAAATTCACACACATGTAAGCTTGTGTAGGTCCCATACTCATGTGAAAGATTTAATACAAAATTTGATAAATCATTTAAGATCTATAATACTTTCCAATGGTAAATATTTATGATTTTCAATAATTGCAAACAAAGTGAGGACATAAAAAATTACTACACATATATGGAATGGGTCTGGGGACGGTCTTGGAACTTGGTTCCCAAATTTTTTTCTCATTTTTTTCACTAAAAGACAAAGGTTTTGCAAAAAAAAAAAAAAAAAAAAAAAAAAAATTCAAACAAAATATCACACCAATCCCATAATCATTTCACTTTTTTTCCCACAAACATCACATCCAATCACAAAAAAAATCCAACAATCTTTCCAAATACTAAAATTTTTTTATCCAATAATATCCTTCAACTAAAAAACCTACATAAAAACTCACTTCCCAAATACCGACAATAATTGCAAACAAAGTGGGGACAGTCTAATTCAGGCCTAGTTTGGAGGCCAAGTTTGGGTACTTCCAAAAAAGCCAAAAAGTTACTCAAAAAGTTAAAAAGTTAACACTATTCACCAAAAGTCAACAATTACGGCTGCACAACTCCCAATTCAAATTTTCCTCTACAAACCAATTTTTACAATTTTTTATTACACATTTTTCCATAAAAAGTCAAAAAGTTAACCCAAACATCCATATTTTCAATCTCAATTTTTTAGTCCAAAAAGACAAAAAGTGCACTTATTTAGTCTTCCCAAACTTGGCCTCAATAAGTGCACTTTTTGACTTTTTTTGTATTATGTGTAGAAAAAGTAGAGAGGAGATGTTGATTGATGTGACCCAAAAAAGATAAAAAGATGAAATAAGTGCACTTTTTTCTTTATAGCCAAACTTGGCCTGTTTGGCCCATTAAGTTCATTTTTATGTCATTTTTTTATAATTTAAATTGTTTATATTTTAAAATTTGTTGAGTGTATTATTTTCGTAAAAATCAAATCTATTGGATAACAAATATTTTATATTCGGATTATTTTTTTCTGAAAAAATAGACGGTCAGAAAATTAACGGTTCATAAAAAAAAATGATCTGAATATATAATATCAGTTATCCGATCGACATTATTTTTTATAGGAATAATATATTCAATAAATCTTAATATGTGAACAGTTCGAATTATCAAAAAAATTCCAAAAGTGAGCCTAATAGGCCAAATTGGACCCCCAGTTCAAATGGTGAACTGGAGGCGAGCCACTATCATATGGAATTTGGGTGAGAGCTAAAGAAAATGAGCAAGTTTGGACCAGACTTATGGTCCTCAAATCTATTCAGAATGATGATATTTATTTAAGATTAAATTTGTATAATATAAAGTTTAAGTATAAAGTAAATCTAAATAATTAAATGATAATTTTAGATAATTTTTTAACAGTTAGATTTGGATTTTTTAGTATTACTCAAAGAAAATTTTAGGACACAATACCGACGCGAAACGACAGTGTATTGCACTCAAGCTTCGTTTGGTAACTTGGGTTGGGTTGGGTTGGGTTGGGTTAGGTTTGAGACTATTTTAGTTATAAAAAAATAAAATAGACTTTTTAGTCTAATAAGACAAAATGTCACATCTAATTCATAATCATTGGATTCTTTCTCTTATAAAAAGTTAAAAAAGCTAACCTACTTTCAAAACGAATCATTACCTCCCCTTTTTTTTTTAATGTCTATTTGAGAATACTTGAGAAATTTGTGAGATTCATTTTAATAATTTAAGAAGAAAATTGCATTTGAATTTCTTTGAAATCAATGTATCCTCCCCCGATTCTTTGAAATCACACTGCTGCCCTTTGTCTTACAACGATAAAATTACTATAATACCTTTCATTTATTTTAAATGAGAGAATATTATAGTAGAGAAAAAAGTGAAAAAAACATTTTATATTAGCGCCTTCACTATAGCCGCCGAGAAGACCACCACCACTGTCAATGTTCACTGACACAACAATTTCTTCTACCCCTACAACCACTGTTCAATATTGTTGAGGTTGTACTGCTGGTGGGGGATGAACTAATCTTCCTTTAACCATTTTCTCTCTCTCTCAAACCTTTTTTCCCTCTATAAAATTACAATATCATATTTGTTTGAATTGATTATGGATTTTGTTATAGTGGTGATGGATATGTGTAAATATTCATAATTATACCTACATATGGCCCCATTTAAGAATATATTATTTTAGTTATTTTTTTGATTTTTTTTAAAAAAATGTAAAAAAAATAAAAATAAAAATAATGATTTAATTTGATATTTTATCTTTTTAACTATTTTAGTTAAAAAAAAATTTCTCAGATGAGGCCTATATCTATATATATATATATATAAGAATTTCTTAACTTCTTGAGGTTCATTTTTTCTTTTCGATTTTGCCATTTTATTTTGAATAATTTACTAATGATGGCCTATATGTTGAGTGAAGATTTTTTTTATAATAACACAAACATTCTTGGTCAATTATACAATAGATTTTTTTTTTGTAATTATTTAAACATTCTTGGTCAATTATGAAATAAGTTTTTTCGTAATTACGCAAACATTATTTATCAATTATAAAACATAAATATTTTATTTTTTAACAAATTATAAGTACACCCATAAGGTTTGTTTAAAATGAATTGGTCTTATAATACTAGAAATCACAACTATTGTTTGTTATAAATTTTAGGAAAATGAGTGAGAGCACTAATTAGTGCTACCACTAATGATGTGGCAGTGGGCTCCACCATGAATGATTTGATGTTTTGGCCTTGATGTTGTATTTTTTTTTTTTTTTTTATTGAGTGCCATGCCATTAGTGATCTTTTTAGAGCTCTAAAATTAATGGTCGCTATTATTGTTGTAAATTTTAGTTTAACACAATACTCAAGGGAAAAAAATTATTCTCTTATGCAATAATAAATTATTAAAATTATTTATTGAAAAATATTTCTCATATCATTAAAAATTATTAATTGACTTAATAATTTATTTATTAACAAAATGGTTAACTGAAAAATATTTTTCATATTATTAAAAATTGTTGATTCACTTATTAATAAAATTGGTCATTTGTTATGTGAGTATGATTTATGTATTAATAAAATTAGTCATTTGTATATATATATATATATATATATATGTACGCCCGAGGTGCCTCCACTGGCCAAGACTGAGGAGGACCGGGCTAGGCGGCATCTCGGCAAAGCCTAGCCCGAGGTGCCTCCACTGGCCAAGACTGAGGAGGACCGGGCTAGGCGGCATCTCGGCAAAGCCTAGCCCGAGGTGCCTCCACTGGCCAAGACTGAGGAGGACCGGGCTAGGCGGCATCTCGGCAAAGCCTAGCCCGAGGTGCCTCCACTGGCCAAGACTGAGGAGGACCGGGCTAGGCGGCATCTCGGCAAAGCCTAGCCCGAGGTGCCTCCACTGGCCAAG